GTGTGGACCCCACAGATACCAGGTCAAGCTGAGGTTCCAGCAATTCAAGTGAGCTCTCGATTGGGGAGGGGCCGTGTGGACCCCACAGATACCAGGTCAAGCTGAGGTTCCAGCAATTCAAGTGAGCTCTCGATTGGGGAGGGGCGCGGTGGACCCCACAGATACCAGGTCAAGCTGAGGTTCCAGCAATTCAAGTGAGCTCTCGATTTAGGAGGGGCGCGGTGGACCCCATAGATACCAGGTCAAGCTGAGGTTCCAGCAATTCAAGTGAGCTCTCGATTGGGTAGGGGCGCGGTGGACCCCACAGATACGAGGTCAAGCTGAGGTTCCAGCAATTCAAGTGAGCTCTCTATTGGGGAAGGACGGTGTGGACCCCACAGATACCAGGTCAAGCTGAGGTTCCAGCAATTCAAGTGAGCTCTCGATTGGGGAGGGGCGCGGTGGACCCCACAGATACCAGGTCAAGCTGAGGTTCCAGCAATTCAAGTGAGCTCTCGATTTGGGAGGGGCGCGGTGGACCCCATAGATACCAGGTCAAGCTGAGGTTCCAGCAATTCAAGTGAGCTCTCGATTGGGGAGGGGCGCGGTGGACCCCACAGACACCAGGTCAAGCTGAGGTTCCAGCAATTCAAGTGAGCTCTCGATTGGGGAGGGAAGGGGTGGACCCCACAGATACCAGGTCAAGCTGAGGTTCCAGCAATTCAAGTGAGCTCTCGATTGGGGAGGGGCGGTGTGGACCCCCCAGAAACCAGGTCAAGCTGAGGTTCCAGCAATTCAAGTGAGCTCTCGATTGGGGAGGGGCCGTGTGGACCCCATAGATACCAGGTCAAGCTGAGGTTCCCGCAATTCAAGTGAGCTCTCGATTTGGTGAACGGCACACGTGGGTCGCGGTTAGAAGTTCGGCACGCCCTGCGCAGTTGTACGCGACTACGCTGCACTATAGGGCTGCACGCGGCTATACGCGACAGTACGTGCGTGTGTACGTGTGTGTGTGTACCTGTGTGCGTGTGTACATGTGTGTGTGTATACCTGTGTGCGTGTGTACGTGTGTGTGTGTATACCTGTGTGCGTGTGTACGTGTGTGTGTGTACACCTGTGTGCGTGTGTACGTGTGTGTGTGTATACCTGTGTGCGTGTGTACGTGTGTGTGTGTATACCTGTGTGCGTGTGTACGTGTGTGTGTGTATACCTGTGTGCGCGTGTACGTGTGTGTGTGTGTATACTTGTGTGCATGTGTACGTGTGTGTGTGTATACACCTCTGTGCGTGTGTACGTGTGTGTGTGTGTGCTATATACTATACTATACACGGCATTGCTATACACTACACACGACTATGCACTTCTATACGTGCAACACTACACACTACACATACTCGTACATGCTACACTACACACTACACATACTCGTACATGCTACACCACACATACTCGTACATGCTACACTACACACTACACATACTCGTACATGCTACACTACACACTACACATACTCGTACATACAACACCACACATACTCGTACATGCTACACCACACATACTCGTACATGCTACACTACACACACTCGTACATGCTACACCACACATACTCGTACATGCTACACTACACATACTCGTACATGCTACACTACACACTACACATACTCGTACATGCTACACCACACACACTCGTACATGCTACACCACACATACTCGTACATGCTACACCACACACACTCGTACATGCTACACTACACACTACACGTGCTCGTACATGCTACACTACACACTACACATACTCGTACATGCAACACTACACACACTCGTACATGCTACACCACACATACTCGTACATGCTACACCACACATACTCGTACATGCTACACCACACACACTCGTACATGCTACACCACACACACTCGTACATCCTACACTACACACTACACACACTCGTACATGCTACACTACACACTACACATACTCGTACATGCTACACCACACACACTCGTACATGTTACACTACACACTACACATACTCGTACATGCTACACTACACACACTCGTACATGCTACACTACACACACTCGTACATGCTACACCACACACACTCGTACATGCTACACTACACAATACACGTGCTCGTACATGTTACACTACACACTACACACACTCGTACATGCTACACTACACACTACACACACTCGTACATGCTACACTACACACCACACATACTCGTACATGCTACACTACACACCACACATACTCGTACATGCTACACTACACACACTCGTACATGCTACACTACGCACCACACGTGCTCTTACATGCTACGCCACACAACCCTCGCTCTCCCACCGCCGCAGCTTGTCTTCCGACCCCGACTGCGTGGACGAGTCGCTGACCGTCTACGACGACAACGGCGACTCGCTGGGCGTGTTCTGCGGCGGCGGCGTGAGACCGCCCGGCCTGCGCTCGTCCGCCAACAGACTCCACCTCGTGCTCGACTCTCTGTGGGGGCTTCAAGGTGAGGCCACGGGGGGAGGGGAGGGGAGGGGGAAGGGGGGTGGGTGGTGTCCGCCATGTTCCCCTTCTCCTCTGCGAGGGAGCGGGAGTTGAGGGGTGGGACGGACAGATTCAACTAAATTGACGACAATAACAACAACAACAACAACGATCACAACAACAACAACAACACTAATGACGTTAGGGAGGTTGTGTCGTCTGTCCTCAGGAGGAGTGAGGCGACCTCCACAACAGCCAAGCACCAGGGCTGTGCGAAAGTTTATTCGCGTCCTTCGGGAGGGCAGTGGCACGTCTGTGATAACGATCAGACACGCGTCGCCCTCATCACCCTCCATGTCTTAGGCAGCGTCACAAATCTCACACAAATCTTACTCAGCGTCACAAGTCTCACACAAATCTTACTCAGCGTCACAAACCTCACACATATCGTACTCAGCGTCACAAATCTCACACAAATCTTACTCAGCGTCACAAATCTCACACAAATCTTACTCAGCGTCACAAATCTCACACAAATCTTACTCAGGTCACAAATTTCACACAAATCTTACTCAGCGTCCTAAATCTCACACAAATCTTACTCAGCGTCACAAATCTCACACAAATCTTACTCAGCGTCACAAATCTCACAGAAATCTTACTCAGCGTCAAAAATCTCACACACATCTTACTCAGCGTCACAAATCTCACACAAATCTTACTCAGCGTCACAAATCTCACACAAATCTTACTCAGCGTCACAAATCTCACACAAAGCTTACTCAGCGTCACAAATCTCACACAAATCTTACTCAGCATCACAAATCTCACTCAAATCTTACTCAGCGTCACAAATTTCACACAAATCTTACTCAGCGTCACAAATTTCACACAAATCTTTCTCAGCGTCACAAATCTCACACAAATCTTACTCAGCGTCACAAATCTCACACAAATCTTACTCAGCGTCACAAATTTCACACAAATCTTACTCAGCGTCACAAATCTCACACAAATCTTACTCAGCGTCACAAATCTCACACAAATCTTACTCAGCATTACAAATCTCACACAAATCTTACTCAGCGTCACAAATCTCACACAAATCTTACTCAGGGTCACAAATCTCACACAAATCTTACTCAGCGTCACAAATCTCACACAAATCTTACTCAGCGTCACAAATCTCACACAAATCTTACTCAGCGTCACAAATCTCACACAAATCTTACTCAGCGTCATAAATCTCACACAAATCTTACTCAGCGTCACAAATCTCACACAAATCTTACTCAGCGTCACAAATCTCACACAAATCTTACTCAGCGTCACAAATCTCACACAAATCTTACTCAGCGTCACAAATCTCACACAAATCTTACTCAGCGTCACAAATCTCACACAAATCTTACTCAGCGTCACAAATCTCACACAAATCTTACTCAGCGTCACAAATCTCACACAAATCTTACTCAGCGTCACAAATCTCACACAAATCTTACTCAGCGTCACAAATCTCACACAAATCTTACTCAGCGTCACAAATCTCACACAAATCTTACTCAGCGTCACAAATCTCACACAAATCTTACTCAGCGTCACAAATCTCACACAAATCTTACTCAGCGTCACAAATCTCACACAAATCTTACTCAGCGTCACAAATCTCACACAAATCTTACTCAGCGTCACAAATCTCACGCAAATCTTACTCAGCGTCACAAATCTCACACAATCTTACTCAGCGTCACAAATCTCACGCAAATCTTACTCAGCGTCACAAATCTCACACAAATCTTACTCAGCGTCACAAATCTCACACAAATCTTACTCAGCGTCACAAATCTCACACAAATCTTACTCAGCGTCACAAATCTCACACAAATCTTACTCAACGTCACAAATCTCACACAAATCTTACTCAGCATCACAAATCTCACACAAATCTTACTCAGCGTCACAAATCTCACACAAATCTTACTCAGCGTCACAAATCTCACACAAATCTTACTCAGCATCACAAATCTCACACAAATCTTACTCAGCGTCACAAATCTCACACAAATCTTACTCAGCGTCACAAATCTCACACAAAATCTTACTCAGCGTCACAAAATCTCACACAAATCTTAACTCAGCGTCACAATCTCACACAAATCTTACTCAGCGTCACAAATCTCACACAAATCTTACTCAGCGTCACAAATCTCACACAAATCTTACTCAAGCGTCACAAATCTCACACAAATCTTACTCAGCGTCACAAAATCTCACACAAATCTTACTCAGCGTCACAAATCTCACACAAATCTTACTCAGCGTCACAAATCTCACACAAATCTTACTCAGCGTCACAAATCTCACACAAATCTTACTCAGCGTCACAAATCTCACGCAAATCTTACTCAGCGTCACAAATCTCACGCAAATCTTACTCAGCATCACAAATCTCACGCAAATCTTACTCAGCGTCACAAATCTCACGCAAATCTTACTCAGCGTCACAAATCTCACGCAAATCTTACTCAGCGTCACAAATCTCACACAAATCTTACCTCAGCGTCACAAATCTCACACAAATCTTACTCAGCATCACAAATCTCACACAAATCTTACTCAGCATCAACAAATTCTCACACAAATCTTACTCAGCATCACAAATCTCACACAAATCTTACTCAGCATCACACAATCTCACGCAAATCTTACTCAGCCGTCACAAATCTCACACAAATCTTACTCAGCGTGACAAATCTCACACAAATCTTACTCAGCGTCACAAATCTTACACAAATCTTTCTCAGCGTCACAAATCTCACACAAATCTTACTCAGCGTCACAAATCTCACACAATCTTACTCAGCGTCACAAATCTCACACAAATCTTACTCAGCGTCACAAATCTCACACAAATCTTACTCAGCGTCACAAATCTCACACAAATCTTACTCAGCGTCACAAATCTCACACAAATCTTACTCAGCATCACAAATCTCACACAAATCTTACTCAGCGTCACAAATCTCACACAAATCTTACTCAGCGTCACAAATCTCACACAAATCTTACTCAGCGTCACAAATCTCACACACATCTTACTCAGCGTCACAAATCTCACACAAATCTTACTCAGCGTCACAAATCTCACACAAATCTTACTCAGCGTCACAAATCTCACACAAATCTTACTCAGCGTCACAAATCTCACACAAATCTTACTCAGCGTCACAAATCTCACACAAATCTTACTCAGCGTCACAAATCTACACAAATCTTACTCAGCGTCACAAATCTCACACAAATCTTTCTCAGCGTCACAAATCTCACACAAATCTTACTCAGCGTCACAAATCTCATGCAAATCTTACTCAGCGTCACAAATCTCACGCAAATCTTACTCAGCGTCACAAATCTCACGCAAATCTTACTCAGCGTCACAAATCTCACGCAAATCTTACTCAGCGTCACAAATCTCACACAAATCTTACTCAGCGTCACAAATCTCACACAAATCTTACTCAGCATCACAAATCTCACACAAATCTTACTCAGCGTCACAAATCTCACGCAAATCTTACTCAGCATCACACATCTCACGCAAATCTTACTCCAGCGTCACAAATCTCACACAAATCTTACTCAGCGTCACAAATCTCACAGCAAATCTTACTCAGCAGTCACAAATCTCACACAAATCTTACTCCGCGTCACAAATCTCACACAAATCTTACTCAGCAGTCACAAATCTCACGCAAATCTTACTCAGCGTCACAAATCTCACACAAATCTTACTCAGCGTCACAAATCTCACACAAATCTTACTCAGCGTCACAAATCTCACACAAATCTTTACTCAGCGTCACAAAATCTCACACAAATCTTACTCAGCGTCACAAATCTCACGACAAATCTTACTCAGCGTCACAAATCTCACACAAATCTTACTCAGCGTCACAAATCTCACACAAATCTTACTCAGCGTCACAAATCTCAACACAAATCTTACTCAGCGTCACAAATCTCATCACAAATCTTACTCAGCGTCACAAATCTCACACAAATCTTACTCAGCAGTCAACAAATCTCACACAAAATCTTACTCAGCGTCACAAATCTCACAGCAAATCTTACTCAGCATCACAAATCTCACAACAAATCTTACTCCGCGTCACAAATCTAACACAAATCTTACTCAGGGTCACAAATCTCACACAAATCTTACTCAGCGTCCACAAATCTCACACAAATCTTACTCAGCAGTCACAAATCTCACACAAATCTTACTCAGCATCACAAATCTCACACAAATCTTACTCAGCGTCACAAATCTCACACAAAATCTTACTCAGCGTCACAAATCTCACACAAATCTTACTCAGGTCACAAATCTCACACAAATCTTACTCAGCGTCACAAATCTCACACAAATCTTACTCAGCGTCACAAATCTCACACAAATCTTACTCAGCGTCACAAATCTCACACAAATCTTACTCAGCGTCACAAATCTCACACAAATCTTACTCACGTCATAAATCTCACACACATCTTACTCAGCGTCACAAAATCTCACAGCAAATCTTACTCAGCGTCACAAATCTCACACAAATCTTACTCAGCATCACAAATCTCACACAAATCTTACTCAGCGTCACAAATCTCACACAAATCTTACTCAGCGTCACAAATCTCACACACATCTTACTCAGCGTCACCAATCTCACACAAATCTTACTCAGCGTCACAAATCTCACACAAATCATACTCAGTGTCACAAATCTCACGTAAATCTTACTCAGCATCACAAATCTCACGCAAATCTTACTCAGCGTCACAAATCTCACACAAATCTTACTCAGCGTCATAAATCTCACTCAAATATTACTCAGCGTCACAAATCTCACACAAATCTTACTCAGCGTCACAAATCTCACACAAATCTTACTCAGCATCACAAATCTCACACAAATCTTACTCAGCATCACAAATCTCACACAAATCTTACTCAGCATCACAAATCTC